AAGTAGAGACTGGGACGGTTTACTCCATGCTTCTGTCTCTAAAGTAAAGTAGAGACGGGGACGGTTTACTCCATGCTTCTGTCTCTATGGAGTAAAGTAGTGACGAGGACGGTTTACTCCATGCTTCTGTCTCTATGGAGTAAAGTAGTGACGGGGATGGTTTACTCCATGCTTCTGTCTCTATGGAGTAAAGTAGAGACGGGGACGGTTTACTCCATGCTTCTGTCTCTATGGAGTAAAGTAGAGACAGGGACGGTTTACTCCATGCTTCTGTCTCTATGGAGTAAAGTAGAGACTGGGACGGTTTACTCCATGCTTCTGTCTCTAAAGTAAAGTAGAGACGGGGACGGTTTACTCCATGCTTCTGTCTCTAAAGTAAAGTAGAGACAGGGACGGTTTACTCCATGCTTCTGTCTCTAAAGTAAAGTGGGGACGGTTTACTCCATGCTTCTGTCTCTATGGAGTAAAGTAGAGACAGGGACGGTTTACTCCATGCTTCTGTCTCTAAAGTAAAGTAGAGACGGGGACGGTTTACTCCATGCTTCTGTCTCTATGGAGTAAAGTAGACACGGGGACGGTTTACTCCATGCTTCTGTCTCTATGGAGTAAAGTAGACACGGGGACGGTTTACTCCATGCTTCTGTCTCTAAAGTAAAGTAGAGACAGGGACGGTTTACTCCATGCTTCTGTCTCTATGGAGTAAAGTAGACACGGGGACGGTTTACTCCATGCTTCTGTCTCTAAAGTAAAGTAGAGACAGGGACGGTTTACTCCATGCTTCTGTCTCTAAGTAAAGTAGAGACAGGGACGGTTTACTCCATGCTTCTGTCTCTATGGAGTAAAGTAGAGACGGGACGGTTTACTCCATGCTTCTGTCTCTATGGAGTAAAGTAGAGACGGGACGGTTTACTCCATGCTTCTGTCTCTATGGAGTAAAGTAGAGACAGGGACGGTTTACTCCATGCTTCTGTCTCTATGGAGTAAAGTAGAGACAGGGACGGTTTACTCCATGCTTCTGTCTCTAAGTAAAGTAGAGACGGGACGGTTTACTCCATGCTTCTGTCTCTATGGAGTAAAGTAGAGACGGGACGGTTTACTCCATGCTTCTGTCTCTATGGAGTAAAGTAGAGACGGGACGGTTTACTCCATGCTTCTGTCTCTATGGAGTAAAGTAGAGACGGGGACGGTTTACTCCATGCTTCTGTCTCTATGGAGTAAAGTAGAGACAGGGACGGTTTACTCCATGCTTCTGTCTCTATGGAGTAAAGTAGAGACGGGGACGGTTTACTCCATGCTTCTGTCTCTATGGAGTAAAGTAGAGACGGGGACGGTTTACTCCATGCTTCTGTCTCTATGGAGTAAAGTAGAGACAGGGACGGTTTACTCCATGCTTCTGTCTCTATGGAGTAAAGTAGACATGGGGACGGTTTACTCCATGCTTCTGTCTCTATGGAGTAAAGTAGAGACGGGGACGGTTTACTCCATGCTTCTGTCTCTATGGAGTAAAGTAGAGACTGGGATGGTTTACTCCATGTTTCTGTCTCTATGGAGTAATGTAGTGGGACAGATTAGATGACAGGAATGATGAGTTTGATGTCAGCCGTGGTGTTGAGCAGCTGAGGTCCGTGTGTGTGTCAGAACACCGGAAGTTATCAGTTGGATGTCTTCCTCTTCTCCATCTGCGTCTCAGATCTCCAGTCTCTTCCCTGCTCGGCCGTCAGCCTGTAATCTTTATGAATAGTCATTCCTATCGATCTTCTGTCCTTTAAAAGTGATTCATGCTCCTTTAGTACAATGTAGGAGCAAAGACGTGGAGCCTGTTGTTGACATGCTAACACATTGTAGCAGAACATAGCATGCAGAGCTTCAACAGGAGGGTCAGTGGAACTGGGAACATGTAGCAGGGTCGTATAAAAATACTCATTAAATTGTCTTTTGACTGCAAGACGTTTGAAGAAGAAACATGTTTCAAAGGTAGTCACTAAGAATGAATCTGCTGCAGATGAGATGTGTGCACATGTCCTTAGGTGTGTTTGTTAAATCCAACAATAAGGGGTCAAATCTCCTGCAGCACCTTGTACTCCCTCCTCTGCAGCTCTCTGGGGATTGGAGCGGCTTTCAGGGTGTTGTAATACAGTTCAGTCCCTGCCCAGATCACACTACACACCTGCCTTCTTACGGCCATTAGCTCTCTCGCTCTCCGCTCAGTGGACAGGAGGCCGGCCGAGCGCCGCCCTCGGGTCAGCTGCACTCTGAGTGATGTGATCCGGGTTGATATAGTTTGATATATGAGCCGATTCTGAAAGCTGTTGTTGGTGCTTACGTAGACTCTGTCCACGTGTGCTGTAATTCTCGGAGTCCCAGACTTAGCAGGGGTGTTATGAGTCTCAGAGAAACAATAAGATTGTTTTGATATTTTGGTAGTTTGCTGGATGGACTGGTCATGCACTCATTTCAAATCCAGCATTTTAGTTTTCCTTTGTAGACGCTGGAAGGAAAGCGTTAATGAATCAACAGACTGAAGGGTCCAGCTGGCAGTCATGATGCTTCAGTATCGACCTGCGAGAATCTTTGGTCAACAAACAAGCTCACTGTTCAGTCTTTCACTGATCCAGAGCCATGCATGCTGTGTGGACAACAATGTGCTTTATTGTGGTTAAGCCTCAGATGTTGAGGCTGATTATTAGTAAGCAGCTTTTCTTTGGTGAGGACAACTCAGGTCTTTGCCAGGTGTGGAGGTTTTTGGACGGGATAGGTGCAATCCAATATCCAGGAATGGATTTGTTTGTTATCCGGCAGTCTCTAGCGGTTGGGTGTTTACGGCGGTAAACACCCAATCTGATCTCTGGACGTCATGTCTTTACACTTTACTGAAAGTGTGTGTGTGTGTGTGTGTGTGTGTGTGTGTGTGTGTGTGTGTGTGTGTGTGTGTGTGTGTGTGTGTGTGTGTGTGTGTGTGTGTGTGTGTGTGTGTGTGTGTGTGTGTGTGTGTGTGTGTGTGTGTGTGTGTGTGTGTGCCTTTTTAATATATTTGTGTAATGTGTGTTACTGTGCAAAGCTGAAAAAGTCACTCAGTTAGATCTTAAACACCTGTGGCAGTAGAATGACAAGGAGAGGGAAGGACACAAGGAGAGGGAAGGACACAAGGAGAGGGAAGGACACAAGGAGAGGGAAGGACATGAGAATAACCTTAAACATCAGACCGATATGTCGGCGCTAAAGTCGGTCTCTGTTTCTGAAATGCAGGAGTGTTCCAGACTCACAGCGTCCCCTCTGACTGTCCTCAGGTCCAGACTCACAGCGTCCCCTCTGACTGTGTTCAGGTCCAGACTCACAGCGTCCCCTCTGACTGTGTTCAGGTCCAGACTCGCAGCGTCCCCTCTGACTGTGTTCAGGTCCAGACTCGCAGCGTCCCCTCTGACTGTCCCCAGGTCCAGACTCACAGCGTCCCCTCTGACTGTCCCCAGGTCCAGACTCGCAGCGTCCCCTCTGCAGCGTCCCCTCTGACTGTCCCCAGGTCCAGACTCACAGCGTCCCCTCTGACTGTCCTCAGGTCCAGACTCGCAGCGTCCCCTCTGACTGTGTTCAGGTCCAGACTCGCAGCGTCCCCTCTGACTGTCCTCAGGTCCAGACTCGCAGCGTCCCCTCTGACTGTCCTCAGGTCCAGACTCGCAGCGTCCCCTCTGACTGTCCTCAGGTCCAGACTCGCAGCGTCCCTCTGACTGTGTTCAGGTCCAGACTCGCAGCGTCCCCTCTGACTGTCCTCAGGTCCAGACTCGCAGCGTCCCCTCTGACTGTGTCCAGGTCCAGACTCGCAGCATCCCCTCTGACTGTCCCAGGTCCAGACTCGCAGCGTCCCCTCTGACTGTCCCAGGTCCAGACTCGCAGCGTCCCCTCTGACTGTCCCCAGGTCCAGACTCGCAGCGTCCCCTCTGACTGTGTCCAGGTCCAGACTCGCAGCATCCCCTCTGACTGTCCCAGGTCCAGACTCGCAGCGTCCCCTCTGACTGTCCCCAGGTCCAGACTCACAGCGTCCCCTCTGACTGTCCCCAGGTCCAGACTCACAGCGTCCCCTCTGACTGTCCCCAGGTCCAGACTCGCAGCGTCCCCTCTGACTGTCCTCAGGTCCAATCCTATATGGATTCATACCACAATCCCTGTATTTAATATAATTCAAGTTTATTTTATATTATTATACATCTTATCATATGTAATATTATTATGTGTCTATATATATATTGATTATATGAATATGTTATTAAATAAAGATAAAAATTCTTCCACTCAGACTGTAAACTGAAGAGTTCTAAGAGATTCAAAACGCTTTCATTTTAAAGTGAACAGATAAATATTTGAATAATCACATTTTAAGGAGTCTCTGCATGAATGTGATGGTCTGCTGTGATGCACATTTCAAACTCTGAGGTATAAATCAAGTCTAACCCTCTGCAGGTGATAAAGACGTATAAGTCTCATCTTTAAAACTTCCTCACATTCAATGTTATTGTTATTATCCGCTCTTTTTGACATCAATGATGTTTGTTCAGCTCTCAACTAAGAGGTGTGATCTGAACACAAAGAACCAGGATGCATTGAGCGCTGACTGACTTCCTGTCTGACTGACTTCCTGTCTGACTGACATCCTGTCTGACTGACTTCCTGTCTGACTGACTTCCTGTCTGAATGACATGCTGTCTGACTGACTTCCTGTCTGAATGACTTCCTGTCTGACTGACATGCTGTCTGCCTGACTTCCTGTCTGAATGACTTCCTGTCTGACTGACATGCTGTCTGAATGACTTCCTGTCTGACTGACATGCTGTCTGCCTGACTTCCTGTCTGAATGACATGCTGTCTGACTGACTTCCTGTCTGACTGTTGTTTTGTGTTGTGTGTCTCTTTTTTCTCGGGGTACTACGGTGTGTCTCTGTGTCTCCAGATTTCGATCCTTCTGCTCTTTTCTCAAACTCGATCTTTTGTTCTTTTTTTTGCATATTCAGAAGAGGCAGCATGTAGGTATCTTAAACCAACACGCACCTTTGTGGCTGCATGAATCATCCTTTCCTTTACACTTCTTTCTTTGACTCTTGGTTCTGCTTTTTGCTTTTCTTCCTGTTATGTTGTAGTTCAGCTCACGTCCTAATGTATAGAAATCAAACACTTGATATGTTAAGATTTGAAATCATTGTCGATATATTGATATTAACTCCTGATATATGAAACTCTTTACTTTAGTATTTATTGAGTAGATTTATTTCAATTGTTTTCATTCTGTCTGTGCTGCACATGCTCTGTTACATGCTTTTGATTTTAAATCTGTTGTTAGCTCATGTGCTACGTTAGCATCATTACTCATCTTGTCCATTGCGTCCACCTCACAACTGTGTCTCATCTGGTCCGTGTGGCTGCATGATCTCTTTTGCATGATGTTTGTGGCTTTAACAGACTTTGGAAAGATTTCATGTGACTCTGTGTTTATTGTCCCGCTTTTCTTTGTCTCCTCTGCAGGGGAGGTGCTCTTCCAGATGGCTGAAGTGCACAGACAGATCCAGATCCAGCTTGAAGAGATGGTGAGCATGTGGTGGTGGTGTTGCTAAAATCAGCACTTCTTAAGCCTCCAGTTGGGACACAGACAGCTTGTAGGCCTGTTGGTTTGGAGTCTGGATAGATGCACACACTTTACTGGACTTGGATAACTCGTATTGTTCTTTTCTTTCTCTGACAGCAGCAGCTTCTCTTTACTCTAGTTTGTTTACTGATGATCTAATATGTAAATGAAAGTCTCTACACACAGTGTAGACAAAAGGCTTTTGAAGGTCTTCTCCTTTGGGTGATAAAAAAGTCACACTTGGAGGGCACCGAGGAAATGTTTGGTGAAAAAGAACAAAATACTTTTTGGGTTCAAGCTGATGCTTTTGTTTGGTCGTAGAGAAACAATACAGTCGAAGCGTCATAAAATAATGAAATATGTTCTTTGAGCCATCATCTTTGTCTTTTGTTATTCATGATTCACACACAAACACAGAGAGAGCGAGGCGTACAGTACTGCACATGCTCAGAGACAATAGATGTCAGTTATCACCACACGTCCTCCGGGGTTAGGGTTAAGGTTGGGTGTGACATTTCCGATGGCAGCACAAATGCCACAGTAATGTAGTACATTGTTTTAAAATGATCACTCTGCCAGTGTGTACTTGTGGTTGACTTCACTTGGTGCTTGTTGCATTGTTTCTGAGGTTTTGGTGTCTCCTGTGTGTCTTCCAGCTGAAGTCTTTCCACAACGAGCTGCTCACAGAGCTGGAGAAAAAGGTCGAGCTGGATGCACGCTATCTGAACGTGAGATTCCTCTCCTGATTGATACTAAAGTAGACCAAGTTTACAGTGACAAACAACATCATTATTATTACTAGTATCATCCCACAGCAGACTTTTTATGGAGCTCTGATGCTCCCCCTTGTGGGACAAACCATTAATGTAGATGAAAATAAGATAACATTTTTTTAACGACTTTATGGAGATTCTTAGCCATGATAACGTTGTTCTTCTCTTTCTGTAGAAAACACAAACCCCAGAAGGAATCTTCAAATGAATCCTTTGTATGACTTTAACTGTCATTATACTTTCTATGTGTATATTAAACAACATTAAGTAACTGTATGAACCAGTGAAAGCTAAAAGAAAAACAGTTTGAGCTCCTATTCCGCCAACTTCTATCATGAAGTGATTGAGCTTTATTCAGAGCAGCAATCATAACCATAACTATCCCAACTCCGGGATCCGTTATGAAACACCCTACTTGTCCTACTATGGACTTGAATGGAACTCTGAATTTTTAGCTCCAGAACCGTCATGTTTTCTTCAAGGACTTAAGTTATGAGGAGAAAAGAAGAACCATGTTATCATGTAATCGTGGGTCAGAGACAAAATGCACCCTCTCTCTATATTTCCCACCAGCTTCCATCCAAACCACTGCAGCAAGTTACATAAAATGCTTCCCACTCGACCCTGTGAATTATGACTCAGTCTGTAAAAACGAGTTGGTATGCAAAACAATTAATCACACATTAATTTATGGTGATCAGTTGTTTTGAAGCAGTCCTGAAAACATTTCATAATTGAGACGAGGGGTGAAGCCACTCATTTGGAAGCGCTCCATTCACACACATTCACACAGTGATGGTAGAGGCTGCTGTGTAAATAGTTTCTCTCATATTGTGCTCTGGTTGAAGAAGTCTCTTAAGTTTAAAGATTTTAACAATCATCTCGATCGTCTCCCTATTCTGCACCAATCATGTGATAGACACATTGGTCATGGCCGTTTGAAATGAGCCTATATGAGTGTGTCTGAATGCTGACATGTTTAAACACTACCGTTCCCCTGCTGACTCACTGCTGCCCTCCTCAGGCTGCACTGAAGAAGTACCAGATGGAGCACAAGGGCAAGGGTGAGAGTTTGGAGAAGTGCCAGGCAGAGCTGAAGAAACTGCGCCGGAAGAGCCAGGGCAGCAAGCACCCGTCCAAGTATGGAGACAAGGAGATGCAGGTGTGTGTGTGTGTGTGTGTGTGTGTGTGTGTGTGTGTGTGTGTGTGTGTGTGTGTGTGTGTGTGTGTGTGTGTGTGTGTGTGTGTGTGTGTGTGTGTGTGTGTGTGTGTGTGTGTGTGTGTGTGTGTGTGTGTGTGTGTGTGTGTGTGTGTGTGTGTGTGTGTGTGTGTGTGTGTGTGCCTTTTTAATATATTTGTGTAATGTGTGTTACTGTGCAAAGCTGAAAAAGTCACTCAGTTAGATCTTAAACACCTGTGGCAGTAGAATGACAAGGAGAGGGAAGGACACAAGGAGAGGGAAGGACACAAGGAGAGGGAAGGACACAAGGAGAGGGAAGGACACAAGGAGAGGAAAGGACACAAGGAGAGGGAAGGACAGAAGCAGAGGAAAGGACACAAGGAGAGGAAAGGACAGAAGGAGAGGAAAGGACACAAGGAGAGGAAAGGACACAAGGAGAGGGAAGGACAGAAGCAGAGGAAAGGACACAAGGAGAGGAAAGGACAGAAGGAGAGGAAAGGACACAAGGAGAGGAAAGGACACAAGGAGAGGGAAGGACAGAAGCAGAGGAAAGGACACAAGGAGAGGGAAGGACAGAAGCAGAGGAAAGGACACAAGGAGAGGGAAGGACATGAGAATAACCTTAAACATCAGACCGATATGTCGGCGCTAAAGTCGGTCTCTGTTTCTGAAATGCAGGAGTGTTCCAGACTCACAGCGTCCCCTCTGACTGTGTTCAGGTCCAGACTCACAGCGTCCCCTCTGACTGTGTTCAGGTCCAGACTCGCAGCGTCCCCTCTGACTGTGTTCAGGTCCAGACTCGCAGCGTCCCCTCTGACTGTGTTCAGGTCCAGACTCGCAGCGTCCCCTCTGACTGTGTTCAGGTCCAGACTCGCAGCGTCCCCTCTGACTGTCCTCAGGTCCAGACTCGCAGCGTCCCCTCTGACTGTGTTCAGGTCCAGACTCACAGCGTCCCCTCTGACTGTGTTCAGGTCCAGACTCGCAGCGTCCCCTCTGACTGTCCTCAGGTCCAGACTCGCAGCGTCCCCTCTGACTGTGTTCAGGTCCAGACTCGCAGCGTCCCCTCTGACTGTGTTCAGGTCCAGACTCGCAGCGTCCCCTCTGACTGTCCTCAGGTCCAGACTCGCAGCGTCCCCTCTGACTGTCCTCAGGTCCAGACTCGCAGCGTCCCCTCTGACTGTGTTCAGGTCCAGACTCGCAGCGTCCCCTCTGACTGTGTTCAGGTCCAGACTCGCAGCGTCCCCTCTGACTGTCCTCAGGTCCAGACTCGCAGCGTCCCCTCTGACTGTGTTCAGGTCCAGACTCGCAGCGTCCCCTCTGACTGTGTTCAGGTCCAGACTCGCAGCGTCCCCTCTGACTGTCCTCAGGTCCAGACTCGCAGCGTCCCCTCTGACTGTCGTCAGGTCCAGACTCGCAGCGTCCCCTCTGACTGTCCTCAGGTCCAGACTCGCAGCGTCCCCTCTGACTGTGTTCAGGTCCAGACTCGCAGCGTCCCCTCTGACTGTGTTCAGGTCCAGACTCACAGCGTCCCCTCTGACTGTGTTCACTCCTGGGTCCATTGGAACAAACCTCTAGTGGACACTCGAGGAACTGCAGTCTACATTGTAGTTTTTTAACAGCGGAGGTTTCAGATTGATTTTCAATGAGAGTTTTACAGAAAGTTTCAAGGCATGCAGCTTGAAAGTCTGTAGATGTGTTTCTATAACAGTCTAATAATCTACATCTCAGGATTACATCGTCTCTGTTCATCAGATCGATTACCTTTGTCTGGATTACATCGTCTCTGTTCATCAGATCGATTACCTTTGTCTGGATTACATCGTCTCTGTTCATCAGATCGATTACCTTTGTCTGGATTACATCGTCTATGATTATGAGATCTGTCTCCTCTCTTTCACTTGCTCGCTCTCTCTCTCGTTCTCTCTCTCGTTAACTTTACCGCTCGAGCGGAGGCCTGAAGAGACCGTGTTAAGTCTCCATCTGACAGTGCCCCCGTCTGAAGGTGTTGTGGTTACATAAAGTGGGCGTGACCTGTTAAACAACCTGCTGCTGTTCAGTTTGTCCAATCAGATCCTCCTCGGACCAACGAGGCAGTTAAAGAGAGCGTGATGCTGAGTTTAGTGAGAAATGTCTCATGGCTAAATGTGAGTGGTGTCAGTGAGAAGAAAAGCGCCCCACACTGCAGGGGAGGTCAGCATCGTGTAATTGTTTGTGTTTCTTGGATGGATAGTTGGTGGAGCATGAAAGGAGCAGCCGCGCTGGTTGTTATAAAAATCGATCGAAGAAGCTTTAGCGAACAACACAGGAACATTCAGGCCCAAAGTCCTTTAGGTCCTCTGGGCTTTAACGGCTGATTGGCTGTGAACAGGATCATCTGGGACACCCAGCTGCAGCATCTCTTCATGTGAACAAACACACTGAGAGCAGAGTCTATGGCTCCAGAGAACAGCTGATTGACGTTTCTAAGATACCAACACGAGTCTAAAAGTATTCAGTGAAAACCTTCGATGAATTTGTTTCTGATCTTTGAGCTTCCAGAGTTCATGAAAATACATCCATACATACATTTTAAGAGTCAGCCTATCACTGACCTTTAGTCTCGTTAAGACTCGTCATCGTCTTCGTCATGGAAAAAGGCTGGTTGATGAACATTTCTGGTCATATTGTTGGTTAATGAAATGTTTCTTTATTAATACATTAATAGAACACTATTGTTGGTCAAGCTCATAATCTAGTCTACCTGCTGCCACATCAACAACCTGCTAATGTTTGACAGGTGGAATCACAATGAGGGTCCACATGACTCACATCAGTCAGGTCCAGTGTTAATAACCCAGACTCCTGGTGTGCATCATATGGACCCTCATGATAACCAGGTCTTGGCAGGACCAGGAGACCCCAGCAGCCTGCACACACTCAGCAGCTCACAGCCTGCTATATTTGTGGGGTCCTTTTAGTGGACGGTGAGTGCATGCAGTATGAACGCTCGTCTTTGTTAATGAGTGTTGGCTCGCTCTCTTCTTCAAAGTGAAGCCGTATTCTCCAGCAAAGCGTATACTTCATCACTTTCTGCACAGTCCAACTTTAATGAAGTGATGACACAGCCTCATGGAGCAGCAAGACAAAATGGAACACCACAGATAAAAGTATCCACTCGTCCTGCCCATGATTGATGATAATATAAAAAATATAGGCAATGGGAAGTCATACTTAAACAACAGTGTCCCTCGGGCCATAAAGCCCGGGCTGCTGTGTGAGCACAAAGTACAGTCTGATAAATCTCGGCTATGTTTACGACCAAAGCATGATGGTTAGCAAAGAGTCGTTTGTGGCTTCCGATGATGCTGATGTACTAACATCCAAGGGCGCTCTGCACTATGGCCTGCAGAGTTTTCTTTTTCTCTTCACTGAGAAAAACAACCAAAGAAATCTGCTGCTAGAAGACATGCAAACAGGACATACTGTATATACATGCTATGCTTACTTCCTGTGAACATGTGCGGTATCCACCTGACTCCAGGTGAGAGCTGCTCAGTTATGGTCACAATCATAATCAGGATTATTTTACATCACTAATCTATAATCCTGATTTGATCTGAAATAAACGTGCTGCATTTACATGGATTCAGGAGGACTGAGGGGGGGCAAACTGGAAACTATTTTTGTGAGCTGTGGATACCAGTGTTGTAGTTCAGTGACCAAACCTCGAGTCCAAGTCCTGGACTGGAGTACATGAATGATGGATAATGAATCGTCCTCTTGGCAGATGTTGACAGATGAGGGATTGATTGGTTGATTGGTTGACAGATGGTGCAGTCTAGGCCTGTGAAGGCTGTTTGGTCATGAGCCGGGGATCTAGCCGAAGATTTCTGCCTTTTTAATAAGGCAGTTTTTTCTTACCACTGTAACTTTTGCTGCTTTGCTTAAAGTGCTCATGATGGATAGGCCGGACCTTTGTAACATAACAATGAGTAAGGTCTTTTACCTGCTTTATGTAACATAACAATGAGTAAGGTCTTTTACCTGCTTTATGTAACATAACAATGAGTAAGGTCTTTTACCTGCTTTATGTAACATAACAATGAGTAAGGTCTTTTACCTGCTTTATGTAACATAACAATGAGTAAGGTCTTTTACCTGCTTTTTGTAACATAACAATGAGTAAGGTCTTTTACCTGCTCTTTTGTAAAGTGTCTCGAGATAACACTTGTTATGAGTTGACGCTATACAAATAAAAATTGATTGATTGACTGATTGATTGATTGATTCAGTCTTTATTAGGATTCCCATTAGCACCAGCATACGCATTGGCTAGCATGATATAATGGATCATCCTCACGGCAGATGTTGTGTTTGTGAGCTTGTCTCTGTTTTTACAGTCACATGATTTCAGGTTGGTCCTTGAACACATTTAATTTGATGTGTTTAGTTAAATGTGTTCCTGAGACAGAAGTCTGTACTAATGAATGTGTGAAGAGGCTTCATTAAATACTTAATTTGCAAGTCTTAGGATGCTTGCTATGTGCAGGTGATTAGAGCAGATTAAATATCTAATTTCACCCTCATTTGAAATCATTCATTTGCCACCATCAGTCTGAGACTCTTCAGCAGAGCCATCACATACAGTATGACGCTGTAGAGGCCCATGACTTTCTCATAAAACAACCCAGCCACGGACGTTCACACCTCAGTGCCGTCTAGCACTTCAGAACAGCATGTCACATTATTCAACCCGATGGGAATCTTTACAGTTATGTAAGGTAACCTGAGGATGAAGCTGGGTTCACCTGGATTATTGGTTTACTTTTTGTGGTGGAGAGATGACATCCAGTGAGTCACTAAGAAGAAGAGAGTGAATGGGTTTTGAATGGAAACACTGCACTCTGTCCCTGCTCTGCTTTTGTTCTAATTCATGGTTTTCAGGTCTGGTGTGCTGCGACATTTCCCAAACGCACAGCAATTAGATTTTCAAAGCTGCACTTGAAAGCTCAATTTGTCTGCTTTTTACATGTCATGATTGTGATGTATGGGGCTCCTTTCTTTAAGACCCATGAAATACTCCCTGTTACCTGCAGATTGGTTGGTTTCTCTGGTACCTTATCCAGAGAAATGAGGACAACTTTACAGGAGAACATGTTATGAAGTCTCGAAGAGGGTTGTCCATAAATGAAAGGGTGTGGGGTTTGATCCCTGCCTTCTCTTTGGGGGAGAAGAGGAACAGGCCAGCACCCTGCCGTCTCCTATGATGGTGACCCAGCAGAACATTGTTAGCTCTTTAGATTACAGTTCCACGTTAATGTTGGCATATTGTCAACACACATCAAACTACAGTCTCTTCTTGATGCTATAAAGGATCATTTTGTTGACTTTGTGGTCTCCTCATTTGAACTTTGTAACTCAAGCCAAAGAGATTCTGTCCTGATGACACCATGTTCTTCCTTGTCCTTCTTCACCTCAGTATGTGGAGGCCATCAGCAACAAGCAGAGCGAGTTGGACAACTACATCGCTGAGGGCTACAAGAACGCTCTGTCCGAGGAGAGGAGGAGGTACTGCTTCCTGGTGGACCGTCAGTGTGCCGTGGCGAGGAACAGCAGTACCTACCATGGCAAGGTGAGTAAGAGGAAACGGCCTCCTCACCACTTCACCAGAGTGGGTGAGGAGGAGGGTGAGTGTGAGGAGGGGAGGCAGTGGGAGAGAGTGACCTCCTTCAGTAAGAACACTCAGAGCACATTGGCTGTGTGGGCGGGACGTGTCTGAATGAGTGATTGACAGACGGAGGGAGGAAGCTCTGAACTGTTGATCTGACCATGAAACAGATTTTATTAAAGAGCCAACTGTCAATCAGTCTGTTTATATTATCATTATTTATCCTTTTCTCTGCTCAAACAAAAGATCTGCTTCATGGACTGGATGTGTTCAGGTCAGTCTGATGTGTTCAGGTCAGTCTGATGTGTTCAGGTCAGTCTGATGTGTTCAGGTCAGTCTGATGTGTTCAGGTCAGTCTGATGTGTTCAGGTCAGTCTGATGTGTTCAGGTCAGTCTGATGTGTTCAGGTCAGTTTGATGTGTTCAGGTCAGTCTAATGTGTTCAGGTCAGTTTGATGTGTTCAGGTCAGTTTGATGTGTTCAGGTCAGTCTGATGTGTTCAGGTCAGTTTGATGTGTTCAGGTCAGTCTGATGTGTTCAGGTCAGTTTGATGTGTTCAGGTCAGTTTGATGTGTTCAGGTCAGTTTGATGTGTTCAGGTCAGTCTGATGTGTTCAGGTCAGTCTGATGTGTTCAGGTCAGTTTGATGTGTTCAGGTCAGTCTGATGTGTTCAGGTCAGTCTGATGTGTTCAGGTCAGTCTGATGTGTTCAGGTCAGTTTGATGTGTTCAGGTCAGTCTGATGTGTTCAGGTCAGTTGATGTGTTCAGGTCAGTTTGATGTGTTCAGGTCAGTTTGATGTGTTCAGGTCAGTTTGATGTGTTCAGGTCAGTCTGATGTGTTCAGGTCAGTCTGATGTGTTCAGGTCAGTCTAATGTGTTCAGGTCAGTCTGATGTGTTCAGGTCAGTCTAATGTGTTCAGGTCAGTCTAATGTCAAGGTTTCTTTATTCGTCTCCCTAGGGAGAAATTTGTCTAGGATGCTGGGAAATTGCTGCATGGACAATACATAGAAAACAATATAAAAACAGTAATTATAAATGTGCAAAAAACATTTAGCTTCTCCGTGCTACAGTTCACCCAAGTGTCTGCTTACATATCCACACACACACATACTCACACTCACACTCACTCTCACACTCACACTCTCACTCTCACTCACTCACTCCTACAGGCACATGCACACTGTGCACATGTACACATGCCACTCCAGACAGTTTCATACATACATGTCTACAGTTATCGGTACATTGGGGGCCTCCTGGTTTTCCGTTCCTCCTCTATTTTTTGCTCATTAATTAACTGAAAAAGGGACTAGTGAGTTTTTGAAGCGGTTGTGTTTGCACAGAGGAACCCTGAACCTTCTCTCTGAGTTCAACAAAACATATTCAGAGTGCAATACATGGGAAGTGTCCGATAAAATGCCCTTGGCCTGTGTGATTGTGGCCTGCTCAAAAAGATCCTGGGGGGTAAGAGGGGCACACATTCCCCTCATCCTGCTGTCTTAACCAGGCTGAGGATCTGAGCTTTAGATTTTACTGTTAAAACACCAAACCAGCTGGTGATGCCATACCGTAAAATGGACTCTATTGTTGCTTTGTAAAAGATGAACATAATGTTTTTACATACACCAAACACTCTTAGTGTCCTGAGAAAATGGAGGCGCTGATGGATTTTGGCACACACACGCTTGCCACCTGTGTGTGCCAGCTAAGATTATTGTCGATATGCACCCACAGGTATTTGTGTGAGGTGACCTGTTCAATGCTGTGAACATGAATGGCCACAGGGCTCCGGTTTCCGACTGATCTGGGGTCCAGCAACTTCTCAACAGTTTTACGAGTGTTTATGTGCAGTTGATGAGCATCACACCAGTCCACAAAACTGTCCACAGCAGCTCTGTGGCTACTTGGGTTCGAATTATTTGGGAGTAGACTGAGGATGAAAGTATCATCTGAGAATTTCACGACATATTTGTTTGGCTCGGTGCTAACACAGTTATTAGTATACAGAGTAAACAAGAAGGGTGAACTGACACACCCCTGTGGGACCCCCGTGCTGCTTACTGCTGTTTCAGAGAAGACAGAATTAAATTTCACTTGTTGTGGCCTGTTTGAAAGAAAGGAGTAATACCACTTTATTACAAAAGGGTTCACATCTAGCTCAACTAGTTTCTTAAGAAGAATGTGTGGCTGGATTGAGTTAAAAGCTGAGCTAAAATCAATAAAAAGCAGTCTGGCATATGCTGCAGGGCTTTCAAGGTGCTTCAGGACAAGATGCTTTATTGCTGAGATGGCGTCACTTGTGCTACGGTGTTTTGTGTAAGCGAATTGGTATGGGTCCAGGGATGGCTCCACCTCCGAGCGTAGCTCCTCTGTTATCAGTCTTTCCAGTGATTTCATAACATTTGAGGTGAGCGCCACAGGCCGGTAATCATTGTCCTCCTTGGGGCATGCTTTTTTGGGAACTGGGGTTATTATTGATTTTTTCCATAGCTCTGGTACTGAGTGTGTGTCCATGGAGAGCTGAAAGAGTTGATGCCAGACTGGTGTAAATTCCTCTGCAAATGTCTTTAAAAGAAAGGCGGACAGGTTGTCCGGCCCTGTTGCTTTATTGGTGTGTATGGCTTTAAAAACCTTAGTAACAGAGTGTGGGGTAATTAAAATTCTGTGCTCGTTCACATTACAGATTAAATTCTCTAAAACTACACAACATTCCCTGTGATTGTCAGTTTCAAAGCGCAAATAAAAGTTGTTAAGTTCATTTGCACGTGCAGTTTCGTTGTGTGCAGATAGGGGCTTCCTTTTTGTGTCCATGTTGGTCATTCCACGAATGGAGTCCCACAGTTTCTTTGAGTTGGATTGGGACAGTTCCTGTTCTGCTCGTTCCCTGTGCTGCAGCCGTGCCGCTCTCATCTGCTGGTTCAGGTCTTTTTGTGCAGCTCTGATTCCTGCAGTGTCTCCTGATTTGAAGGCGGACTTCTTCCTGTTGATGCATTCCTTTATTCCCCTTGTAATGTAAGGTTTATTGTTTGGGTATCTCTTGACAGTTTTCTGGGGTATGACTGAATCAACACAAAAAGAGATGTAATCTGTGATTGATTCTGTGGCAGTGTTAATGTCAGCATCCTCAAAGAAAATGTCCCAGTTAGTGCTAAGGAAGCATCCTTAGGATGCTCCAACCTGTGCCCGCAGGTGGTCCAGTTTGTTTTTAAGCGAGTGGGGGTTACCCAAGAGCATAGGTGGCAGCGGTAGCTTGGTGGCTCCTCGGACACGCTGCCTGATGCCGCCTCTCTGGCCCCGCTTCCTAGCCTTCCTGCCTCGATAGAGGTCCGGTCGGTGGTGTCGGAGCAGTTCTCCCGGCACGTTGTTCAGCAGGCCTGGTGACGGTAGCCCTCCGCAATCCCAAAGTCCCAGCAGCTCCATGCCGCTGTACACCAGCTGGCCGGTGCTAGTAAGCCCGTCCGCGGAGCATTGGACGACTCGGCTAGACAGAATTAGCCACACTAGGGCTAGCAGCTCCATTTGCCTCCATTTCTTTTCACATGCATACCACATACAGTTCAGCGCACTCCTCCCATTCAGCCTTAGCAGTGAGCTTAGGGTCCATTGTCGACAGACAGTAAACGGGAACGATATAAACAAACAAACGACGTGCAGCAAGAGCTTACCTCCATGCCGCCAGCAGAGCAGCGCCATCTCACACCAAGTCACAACTATGTGTTCAGGTCAGTCTGATGTGTTCAGGTCAGTTTGATGTGTTCAGGTCAGTCTGATGTGTTCAGGTCAGTCTGATGTGTTCAGGTCAGTCTGATGTGTTCAGGTCACAGGTCAGTCGGATGTGTTCAGGTCAGTCTGATGTGTTCAGGTCAGTTTGATGTGTTCAGGTCAGTCTGATGTGTTCAGGTCAGTCTGATGTGTTCAGGTCAGTTTGATGTGTTCAGGTCAGTTTGATGTGTTCAGGTCAGTCTGATGTGTTCAGGTCAGTCTAATGTGTTCAGGTCAGTCTGATGTGTTCAGGGCAGTCTGATGTGTTCAGGTCACAGGTCAGTCGGATGTGTTCAGGTCACAGGTCAGTCTGATGTGTTCAGGTCAGTTTGATGTGTTCAGGTCAGTCTGATGTGTTCAGGTCAGTCTGATGTGTTCAGGTCAGTCTGATGTGTTCAGGTCAGTCTGATGTGTTCAGGTCAGTCTGATGTGTTCAGGTCACAGGTCAGTCGGATGTGTTCAGGTCAGTCTGATGTGTTCAGGTCAGTTTGATGTGTTCAGGTCAGTCTGATGTGTTCAGGTCAGTCTGATGTGTTCAGGTCAGTTTGATGTGTTCAGGTCAGTTTGATGTGTTCAGGTCAGTCTGATGTGTTCAGGTCAGTCTAATGTGTTCAGGTCAGTCTGATGTGTTCAGGGCAGTCTGATGTGTTCAGGTCACAGGTCAGTCGGATGTGTTCAGGTCACAGGTCAGTCTGATGTGTTCAGGTCAGTCTGATGAGTTCAGTCTGATTTGGTCCAAACTGGAGGAAATCGTTGAAGATGATCTGATCAATGTGTTCCACCAGCTGTTTTTATTTACCGCTCTCCAACAAACTCAGTTTCTGAGATTTGTTCTCTGAGGTTGGCTGAAATACAGAAAAATAACACAGCGTCTGCTGGTTGATTATATCATCACCCTGGTAAACACAGTGACCAACCTACGCTGTACCTAAGCTGTTTGTGAGGGCTAACTGAGGTCATGATGACTCATCACTTCTGGCTTTGAAAGACTTTGCTGCCCGCTGAGAGAATCACACGAGTGATTATCCATTCATCCCATTTCATTACCTGTCCTCAAGAAGCAGAATCATTGTCTTAAAGTTAGAGATAAAAGAGAGCTGGAGTCCCAAGTAACACGGAGCTCACCTTGTTTCTGCTGTACTTTCATATCTGTGTTTGTGTTATTTCATTGGCTCATCCCACCCACACCCTGACGCCCGCAAACACTCAGCAGGGCCAGACGACCTTGGAATGTGTTTATCCGCCACACATGCCTGGTGCAGTTAAAACTGTTTGAGCTGCACATTCTCCTCCACTCTCTCCAATATTCATGGATTCAGGACTCTCTCATTTATGCACTGAAGAGGAATGCAAATGAGGAGAGTCTTTATGTAACTGCCCTGCTGTATAATGAGAGCAGGAAATGTAACTCTGCTGAGAGCTTCTCAAACGAGTGCGTTCACATAGAGGGTTCATACCTGTCACTTTAGCCCACCTGTCATCTCTCTTCTGCATCCACTTCATCTTCTGTTCCAAGCCGGGTTGATGTCTGCAGGGAAAAGCAGCAGCTCCTTAAAGCGTCCACGGATATTTAAGCAGAACACTGGTATAAAAAAGGTGTCTTTTTCAGAAGTACGTTTTGAGTCTGGTGAGATCTCAGCCTCACAGGAACTCCAGAAGGACTTCTCCTGTGGTCAGATGTAGTCAAATGTGGTTTAGTGGACACGTATAAAAAGCTCTTATTGAAATCCTTTCCGAACTTTCAAACTAGTTTTCTCTCAGCATATTCTGACATGACTTAATTTCAGCTGTTTCGTGGAGTTCCTGAGAAGTTAAATGTTAGATAATTTAGTTATCAAAGGAAACGGCGCTGACAACGTCCATAGAGGAATATTGTGCACAGGAACAAAGACGAAAGATTTCAGAAGAATGTTTTTCATTCAGTTTGATGGGAACACATGTTCCACGTTTCAGATCATAGCATGATAATTAAGTACTCAATGTTTCTGCACATATAAATCCTCACGATCTTTATGTAGGGGAATAAACATTGTTAATTGTTACAAGAGTTAATCATATATTCAAATAAATGAATCATCAGATCGTGTTTCATGACGCACATTAAAACAAAAGTTAGTGGTGGGGGTTTGGTGGAGGTTCGGGTGGAGGTTTGGGATAAGGATTGGGTGGAGGCATGGGGGGAGACAAAAAGGTGAAAATAGTTTGACTGCAGATTTAATGTAGCTGTGATCAGAATGTAAAGTTCAACATCCTGTATCGTCCTTTTTAACCTCTCTTCTCCCTACAGGGGAAGGAGCTCTTATCCCAGAAGATCCCAGTGTGGCAGCAGGCCAGCACTGAGCCTAACAAGCTGCCCGATCGGGCCATGTTCCTGGCCCAGCAGATGAGCTCTACAGCTGGTACCTTGCCTCCAGGAGCTCATCATCCAGGCATGCCCATTTCTGAGCCCATCCCTGGGGCTAAACCTCTACCGGTGCCTCCAGAACTGGCAGCCCTGAGGGCTAGTGGGGGCCTGGGACAGCAGGTTAGTCTCTTTAGTCTCACTGCACTTGAATAAGCAGAAGCTCTTTCTGTTTTTGCTTCCGTTTGATTGGATGATTCGTCTTATTGAAACAGTTTGGCTCGAGCTGCTCATTAAAAAGCACGGAGCAGATTCAGTGGCGGACTTTGTTCCCAGATTAAACACATTTTGAAAGTGTTTGCCGTCTCCCAGTAGTCTTCTCTATGTTTATCTTCTAATCAGCATGTAGTCAAATGTAGGCTTTTCATTAATCAGCACTTCCTGCCCCAGATCCACTTCCTGCCTTATTATTGATGTGCTGCCGGATGTTATATAACATCTCTGGGAGGTAAATGGAGAGGAAGAGTTTGAGTTTTAATTGCCTTTATGCAAATGTCCATGTCTGTGCAGAGGCTGATGGGGGGGCTGGAAGGAGGGATGCCTCTGATGAACGGCACCACAGGCGTCCACGGTGGAGAGGACTACCAGCAGTGGATGGAGGCAAAGGTGGCCCAGGGCAAAACTTCAACACAGAGGCACGGAGTAGAGGTCTTCTCCAACACCCTGCCTGTGCGCAAAGTGGCCCCAGCCAAGAACAAGACAGCACTGAGTAAGGACGCCACTGAGCCGGGACGTGTACCTGTGAGGGTTCTGGAGGCATTAGCAATAATCCCAGGAATTTGAATAATCTTAGTCTTATTGTTTTCATCAGCCAGTAGCTCTGCTTGTCCAGCAGCACACTTCCTGTCCAGCAGCAGCTAGCTGGACATGGAGTTATTAAGGGCACACGTTTTCCTCAGGAGGTGGTGGAGAGAAATAGCGTTAATGTTGCTCTGCGTTGTTTGTTTGTGTTGCTTTCATTTGTCAGGATGTTTGTTTGAGAGTTACAGCAGAAGTACTTCATTAAATTTCCAGTTATTCTGCAGAGGATTATTTGAAGATGAAACCTCAAAGAAGAGCGAGTGAAGTATCAGGTTTAATGAGAAACTGAACAGGTGGGACTACATCTGGAGTAAACATAGAGGACAGGTTTCTCAAAAATATGGTGTCTTGCTCACTTTTGAAAGAGAGCTTGTGTGCCTCCTGTTGGTGACGCCCTCCTCCTCTGATCTCTAACAGTGGAGACCCGGACTCTGCCACGGTCCAGCTCCATGGCAGCAGGACTGGAGAGAAACGGGAGAACTCGAGTTCAGGCCATCTTCTCGCACGCTGCTGGTGACAACAGCACTCTGCTGAGCTTCGCTGAAGGCGACGTGATAACCCTGCTGGTCCCAGAGGCCCGAGATGGCTGGCACTATGGAGAGAATGAGAAGAACAGGATGTGAGTTTGCAGAGTTAAACTCAGATTAGATCAGGTTTGAGTTATACTCAGATTAGATCAGAGGTTATATCAGGTTTGAGTTAAACTCAGAGGTTAGATCAGGTTTGAGTTAAACTCAGATTAAATCAGGTTTGAGTTAAACTCGGAGGTTAGATCAGGTTTGAGTTAAACTCAGATTAGATCAGGTTTGAGTTAAACTCGGAGGTTAGATCAGGTTTGAGTTAAACTCAGATTAGATCAGGTTTGAGTTAAACTCGGAGGTTAGATCAGGTTTGAGTTAAACTCAGATTAAATCAGGTTTGAGTTAAACTCGGAGGTTAGATCAGGTTTAAATTAAACTCAGATTAAATCAGGTTTGAGTTAAACTCGGAGGTTAGATCAGGTTTGAGTTAAACTCAGATTAGATCAGGTTTGAGTTAAACTCGGAGGTTAGATCAGGTTTGAGTTAAACTCAGATTAAATCAGGTTTGAGTTAAACTCGGAGGTTAGATCAGGTTTAAATTAAACTCAGATTAAATCAGGTTTGAGTTAAACTCGGAGGTTAGATCAGGTTTAAATTAAACTCAGATTAAATCAGGTTTGAGTTAAACTCAGAGGTTAGATCAGGTTTGAGTTAAACTCAGAGGTTAGATCAGGTTTGAGTTAAACTCAGATTAAATCAGGTTTGAGTTAAACTCAGATTAAATCAGGTTTGAGTTAAACTCAGAGGTTAGATCAGGTTTGAGTTAAACTCAGAGGTTAGATCAGGTTTGAGTTAAACTCAGATTAGATCAGGTTTGAGTTAAACTCGGAGGTTAGATCAGGTTTGCGTTAAACTCTGAGATTATATCAGTCTGAGTTTCATGATTTAATCAAATCTCCAGTTAAAGATGTGTAATTGGATCCAGCTGATTTGTGGCGCCCCCCGTGTCTTCCAGGCGTGGCTGGTTCCCCTTCTCCTACACCAGAGTGATCCCTGAAAATGACCCACATTCCATGAGGCAACTTCGAGTACACAAGTAAGTCTGAGGACGTTCGCAGCACCAAACTACCCTACCCCTCTGGCCCAAACTACCCTAACCCACAGACCCAAACTACCCTACCCCTCTGGCCCAAACTACCCTAACCCACAGACCCAAACTACCCTAACCCACAGACCCAAACTACCCTAACCCACAGACCCAAACTACCCTAACCCACAGACCCAAACTACCCTACCCCTCTGGCCCAAACTACCCTAACCCACAGACCCAAACTACCCTAACCCACAGACCCAAACTACCCTACCCCTCTGGCCCAAACTACCCTAACCCACAGACCCAAACTACCCTAACCCACAGACCCAAACTACCCTACCCCTCTGGCCCAAACTACCCTAACCCACAGACCCAAACTACCCTAACCCACAGACCCAAACTACCCTAACCCCCCAACCCACTTTGACCCCTGTCTCACTGCTGGACCTGTCTCATTACTTGACCTGTCTCACTGCTGGACCTGTCTCATTACTTGACCTGTCTCACTGCTGGACCTGTCTCATTACTTGACCTGTCTCACTGCTGGACCTGTCTCATTACTTGACCTGTCTCACTGCTCGACCTGTCTCACTGCTCGACCTGTCTCACTGCTCGACCTGTCTCACTGCTCGACCTGTCTCACTGCTCTACTGTCTAACTTGAATTGATTTCAATGTTCACAGTAACCTGCCAGAGATCGGCTGCCCTGCAGACTCTCCTTGTAAACTTCAACACGATAACGTTTTTGCAGCAGATGAGTGAAAGGGAGGAGCTGCCACTCGGGGACAACATGTTTACCATATCTTCATATTCTGTGTTTTCAGCCTCCAGCACGGGAAGAGCAGCAGCACAGGAAATCTTCTGGAGAGAGAAGACATGTCTCTGTCTGTCTCTGACTACGGCCTCCACTCCCGCATGATGGCACAGAGCGCTGCTGCGCTGCATGGCAGACAACAACGCCCCTACAGCGTGGCGGTGCCAGGCTTCTCACAGGTGGGGGGCTTTCAAAACATGCACATAAAACACATCAATCCACACACAAGTTATCACAGCTCACATGAGCTGAGCTGTCGCCATCAGCTGGCAAAGAACCGCGCTCGTCTGCTTCTCCCTGCGTGCTGCTGACCTGAGATAAAGTGAAGAGTTCGACAGGCTGCCTCTTCCTTTACCTGCTCTGCTGTCCCAAAGCTGGCACACAACGCTCTGCTACACGAGCTTATGTAAGCGCAGTATAAGTCCTCCTTCGCTTCACTTGCCGTGTTTACTGAAGGATGAGAGTGAGATGGGTCACAGCTCAGACCGGAGAAGCCTCCGTCTGCAGCCGGCTGTCTCGCTCTCAGAGGAAAGTGTCTGAGATTGATAACAGAGTGAGTGTTTGCCCAGCTGACTGAATAAGGAGGAGGGAGGGGGGTTCATATTTCCAGAGTCAAAGACAGAAGTAGACTTATGCAACAGTGAAGTGTCCTGTATCAGCGCAGCTCTCCGCCTACGCCTCACCTGGAACATGTCATGTGGGCGATGCCTAATTGCTCGGCACTCATGTAACAGCTAAAACTTCTTTCAGTGATGGAAACATTTCCTGATGACATTTATGGAGAGCTGGGTTATGTCATCAGGGTCGTGTGTTTGAAAGACTTGAAATGCTTTAACCCTTTCATAACCGCTGATGTGATGAGATGTAGGTCAGCAGACGTGTTATTTTAGGTTTCATGGTCTTTGCAAACCAATCAGTGAGCTGGATTCAAATCATTTCAGAGGACATGTTGATATTACATCTATTTAGACCTCATCTGTTTTGTAAACATGCTTTTAATCTTTCTTTTAAAATCAGGGCTTATTTTTCAGATCTCACCAAATAAACTGGGGTCTGTTTTTGAAAGCATTGTGTCGAACAGTTTACAGTCAACACTCACTAACAGCTGATGTGTGGTCCTAAGATGCTGCAGTATCTCTTCTGCAACATGTCTTTGCTACCATCTGCTGGCTGCTGTAGTTGGTGCGGTTCTCAAATTTATGTGATTTATATTATAAACAGATATCTTTATCTTGATGAAGAATTAATTGGCCAGGGACCATTGTTTGTGTCTGACCAATCACGTCTCAGCAAGGTTTCGTTTTTTGCAGAAAAACAGTCAAGACTAAAAGAGTGGCTGAGATCTTATCCTGATGATATCCAGCTCCTTCCTGAGACTCAATCAGACTCAGTCATTAGTCGATGGTTAGAGGTTCAGACTCAGTCATTAGTCGATGGTTAGAGGTTCAGACTCAGTCATTAGTCGATGAGGTTCAGACTCAGTCATTAGTCGATGGTTAGAGGTTCAGACTCAGTCATTAGTCGATGGTTAGAGGTTCAGACTCAGTCATTAGTCGATGGTTAGAGGTTCAGACTCAGTCATTAGTCGATGGTTAGAGGTTCAGACTCAGTCATTAGTCGATGAGGTTCAGACTCAGTCATTAGTCGATGAGGTTCAGACTCAGTCATTAGTCGATGAGGTTCAGACTCAGTCATTAGTCGATGGTTAGAGGTTCAGACTCAGTCATTAGTCGATGGTTAGAGGTTCAGACTCAGTCATTAGTCGATGGTTAGAGGTTCAGACTCAGTCATTAGTCGATGAGGTTCAGACTCAGTCATTAGTCGATGGTTAGAGGTTCAGACTCAGTCATTAGTCGATGGTTAGAGGTTCAGACTCAGTCATTAGTCGATGAGGTTCAGACTCAGTCATTAGTCGATGGTTAGAGGTTCAGACTCAGTCATTAGTCGATGGTTAGAGGTTCAGATTCAGTCATTAGTCGATGGTTAGAGGTTCAGACTCAGTCATTAGTCGATGGTTAGAGGTTCAGATTCAGTCATTAGTCGATGGTTAGAGGTTCAGACTCAGTCATTAGTCGATGGACTCGATGCAGGCCGATGTAGTTTCAGAAGTCTATCTTTTTGTTTGCAATAAATTGTGTGACCAAAATCTAATCTGACTTAATTTTTGATTGCAGCAAGGAGTTGAAGAATACGAGCCACGCTTCCCTACAAGGTAAGAAACAGTGAATTAGAGTCCATTGAGCTCCTTATCTATCAAATCAAATGTGTCTTTAGAATTAGATTAATTTCTATACTTGGGAAGGGCTTTTGGGTGAGACGCCAGTGAGGGATTGGGCACTTTCAGCTGGGTGCTGAAGGTTCTGAAGGGGGATTGGTTGGGCCTGACCCACAAACATACAACGAGCAGGAGACCTGACCTAACCCATTTGTCCGTTTTGGTTTGTATTGTTTTCTTTGAGTTCTGTTCTGTATTAAAGAAGTGTTTCTGCTGCATGTTGGTAAAGACTAAGACTGTCTCAACTTTGAGGACAATCCAAAAAGAAACAAACACAGTAGACTCAATTTAAAGGCATGCAATTGGTTACTAGTGTTTTGTGTTTTAAGTAAATTAAAATGTTCTTTTTAATTCATTTTTATTAATGCAACCACGGTTTGACTTAGCAGCTTCTCACCACGCCCTCCATGCACCCTGCAGCTTCTACCTGCTAACTTCACTCACCCACCCAATCCCTGATCAGCTCAGAGCCCTCTCATTGAGTTCATTCAGGAAACCATCCGACTTATCATCGAGTGATACAGTATTTTAAAACATCTCTTAAATGATCAACAAATTCAAAAAGTTGAGAATTGCTCCAGTAGATTGTTTCAGCCAGCCGCCCACACACACACTCTATGAATAACCATCTGAGCCAACTTTTAGTGGACCTGCTTTGATCAGCTGCAGACCCCACTAAGCTTTTCATTGGCTCATTTCACAGCTGCAGAGACAATCTTCAGGAGCAAAAAATTGTTCTGTTAATTTGAATGATTTGGACCCAAAAGAAGCTCAAATAGTCATTTTTAATAAATACCAGATTCTGTTAGACTTCATGTTGGAGGTCAGGTGTGTGTTCTGCCTCTCTGTGTGTCCTGGTTATGTTTGCTGCTGTTTCTCCTGAGCCAGCCCTCCTGGAAGCATCTCCCTCTCTTTGTTCACAGTTCCACAGAGGGCAAATTGATTTCCACAGTGTGAGGACAGACAGACAATCAGACAGGCACAGACTCAGCGAGACGATGCTGTGGGACAGGCTCGTCGCTGCCCTCTTGGCTGAACCTCCTCATCATTACCCTCTCTTCCTCTTCCCCTTTACCTGCTGCTAACGGCAATAACTCTCCCTGAGCCAATCAATGCAAGAAAGAGACTTGCTCTATATCTTCCTTCCCTCTTCGAGCTCCCTCCTTCCTCCTGAAACCTTTTCTGTGTCCACACCGGACCCTGCTGAAGCTTTGTTACGGAGCCATGCCGAGCCAAACCACAACACCACGGACTCTGTGCCATCTGCGTATAAATGTTCAATGTGATAGACATTTTCTCTGCTTGTCTTTCATGCATGTTCTTTTATAAGCACTGGGGATTATATTTCTCCACCAACTGGACCAGATGTTCACAAACATGCACGCCATCAGAATGACAACGTAACGGATATGTAATCAGGGTGGTATCAATACTCTACTGGGTCTTTCAGTATTTAACAATAATTGTACCTTTTCATGCTGTGAGGTTTTGTATTCCTCTGAATGAGAGCCAATGGATCACGAGATGTGAACAGCTACTGTAAATGTTTTCAGTTATGGCACAGAGACAAAGTCACACCAATGTTTACTGTAAATGTGTTTGTCCTACAGTAGAAATGATGCACCTTATGAAAGTAGTACTTCTATATCTGACTCTCCTGTTACACTAACTGTACTGTACTTCAAGAATCAGCCTTCATGCTCCAACCTCCTGATGGAGCTCACAAACCAGATCTTTGGGTTTCTATACTACAGTGTGAACATCTTAGCAAGGCTGAATGAGGTCGACTGTTCCTCTATGACACGCAGGTTTATGGTGCTGTTATTACATTTCTTCATATTTTGCAGCAAAATTCAAAATATTAGCTGCACTAGCTTCTTAAAGTGAGACTTTGCTGCTTTTTCTGTCACACTGTAAATCTTTGGGTGTGATTAACCAATGGGCAACACAGTTCATCTAAATAAAACATCCCTCTGCTGATTTTGCCTTTTCTCTTCATCATTTTACAAACTGCATTATTGGAAAAATCATCTTCTGATTTATTGTTTAATAAAATGATTCAGGGTTGTCTCAGAAGAGCTGTTGTTCATGTATGACAGGAAAAACAACGGCTTAATGCACAACCTTAAAGCACTTTGAAATATGTGTCATAAGTGCAGACGTATTACAATGCCTCCTCTTGTGATTTAGCTGATTTCATACAGTTAAAGGAGGCATCAGAAGTCTGATAATAAAACAGGCTCATCCCACGTAATCCATCACATACAGATCACATTATTGGCTCAGAGACTCTGAAGCTTTGACAGGAGAGGAGTTGATTCGATGTTGAGGCCTCATTCAGCCTTCTTGTACTGTTGTCTTTGCAATGAAAGGCTTAATTTTAAAACCACAGTGAGTAAAAAGCTCCATGTTTTAAAGACTGAAGTGTGTGTCTGATTCTCTACGTGCTAAATAAAGATGCCTGTCTTTACTAACCTCTGTCCCCCTTTTATCATGTCCTCACACTTCATTTCTGCTTCTTAATTTGATGAGGTTAAAAAAAATCTCATCCAAGTTCTTCTTCACCCTGAAGTCTAAAGTCTATTTCACTTTTATATTTCTACTTCAGACCAGTGAAAATTAGTTCACTTGTTTTTGAAGACTCATTGGAAAGTCGCTTCAAGACTTAACTGAAGGATTTTACCAAGATGGACTTCTTGCAATATACTAATGTTATTGTGTGTGCAGAAGTCTACTGTGTCTTTGCTCTCATCTTTCTTCTCACCGTCTTCATCTGTCTTTGGCTTGCCTCCCCCCTGAGCTTTGCCAACCCCCTGGTTTCCATTTGTGTTTTGACGGATTTAGAGAAAAAAGTTGATCGCAAACGACTGGAAGTTGCCAGTGTTTCTTCTTTCTCCACTAAAATCAGTCCAAGGTATGACTGCAGAGTATTGTGGCCAGATCTTCTATTGCATCTACTAAGGCACTTTATTTTGAAGGATTTTGTTGTTGAAGATATTGTACCAAGATTTTATTGGCATGCATCCTTAGGGCACCAAGAGGCATAACACTGAGGGCCTAAAATGGCAAATTTCTACTTTAAATAGTTAAAAATAAATGTATTCAAAAGGAAACCTTAGTTTGTTTCTTACTGGAAACGATAGAAAGGACTTCATCTTTTTGTTGTTTTTTCTTTTTTTGAATTCACTTTTATTTATATCAGACTTTTCACCAGATCACAACAGTAGAGCCACTTTCTGCTGTCATCGATTAACAAGCTGGTGGCCTCCCTTTTGCTTTAATGCAATAACCAGCATTGGCCACCAGCATTAACCAGCTTTAACCAGCATAAACACCCGACATTCAGTCGGCATTAACCAACAATAACTGGCATTAACCAGCATTTACCAGCATTTATTAGCATTCATAGAATAGAATGCCTTTATTGTCATTATACAATTGCACAACAAAATTATTTAAAGCTTCACCTTAAAGTGAAAAATAACTGGCATTAAACAGCATTGACCAGCAATAACAGGTCGCTCTTTCTGCCTATTTTGCATTACTTCTCATCACATCATTTCTTGAACTAAGTCATCATAACCTGCTTGGCCTTGTTGCATGTACATTGTGAGTTTGTTTAGTGCACAGTAGTTAAACTGCATCCTACCAACTCTAATCACCCACTGCCAAGCACACACTGCCAAGCACCCACTGCCAAGCACCCAATCCCAAGCACCCACTGTCAAGCACCCACTGCCAAGCACCCACTGCCATGCACCCACTGCAAAGCACCCACTGCCAAGCACCCACTGCCATGCACCCACTGCCAAGCACCCACTGCCATGCACTCAATTCCATGCACCCACTGCCAAGCAACCACTGCCAAGCACCCACTGCCAAGCACACACTGCCATGTACTCAATTCCATGCACCCACTGCAAAGCACCCACTGCCAAGCACCCACTGCCATGCACCCACTGCAAAGCACCCACTGCCAAGCACCCACTGCCATGTACTCAATTCCATGCACCCACTGCAAAGCACCCACTGCCAAGCACCCACTGCCATGCACCCACTGCAAAGCACCCACTGCAAAGCACCCACTGCCAAGCACCCACTGCCATGCACCCACTGCAAAGCACCCACTGCCAAGCACCCACTGCCATGCACCCACTGCCAAGCACCCACTGCCATGCACTCAATTCCATGCACCCACTGCCAAGCAACCACTGCCAAGCAACCACTGCCATGCACCCACTGCCAAGCACCCACTGCTAAGCAACCACTGCCATGCACCCACTGCCAAGCACCCACTGCCAAGCACCCACTGCCAAGCACCCACTGCTAAGCAACCACTGCCATGCACCCACTGCAAAGCAACCATTGCCAAGCACCCACTCCCATGCACCCACTGCAAAGCAACCACTGCAAAGCAACCCCTGCAAAGCACCCACTGACCTGCTCCTGTTGCTCCTGCTCCTCCTCCTCCTGCTGCTGCTGCTGCTGCTTGTCAAGGTACCCTTTTTCAACTGAACTGTGTGTTTGTCCAGATCACATCATACTCACTTAGTACTGCCAGTGTCTGTCTGGGTTCTCAGATCACCACGTCGTCATTTATATGTCTGTTGTATTTTTGATTTTTTGGTATCAAAATGTACATGTAACACAAACAGACTGAGTGTTTAGCGCCTTGATCTGTTTGGGTTTTTATCAATATATTTGTGTTGCACTTTAACGGAGAGCAGCATACTGTATTTAAGCTAGGCAGTCTCTTAGTTTGCCTGGGAATTACTCTTTCAATAACGCATTTTAACTTTCCTAGCAATGCTCAGAACAAAATGGACGATATTTTGGTCATGTATTTCAGCAAACACACATTTACTCACCAACTCTGGTTCTTATGTTGAAAATACAGATTTGAAATTCAAGCGATTAGAGGACAACAGTGATGTCTCATTTTCAATGCGGACTCAGCTGTCTCAGTCATGGTCTTAGTAAATGTTAAATGCTGATGTTTTTGACCTAATGATATACACATACTATAACTAAAAAGTTGTAGATAGTAATAATGAAGCTTTGCTCTGTGTAATATTGGTATATGACATGTCATTTGATGTATAAGAAGCTGCTGACTGCTGACCCGGTGGATGTCTCTGCCTTTCAGTACGGGGCCTGATTACGCCCAATTTTGAGTGACCAAAAGACATCGTAAGTGACTGAGTGTGGCTCTTCAGGGTCTTCCTGCCACGCCATCTTCTTTCAGTTCTTCATTTTGGTTGAAAAGTTGCTTCATTGTCGTGTAAGCTTTGGGTGTTGTGGAGTGTTCTGGGTGATGTGGCTGCATCATCTCTGTTTATATCTAAGATCTGTGTTGCATGTTTGAGCATGGTGCTCATCTCCTTCTCTGTTTATCTTCTGCATGTTTCCTCAGACATTTACGTCATTTTCTGTTGCTGAAAAAGAAATGCTTCATCCTGGGCTTTTTTTGAAACCTTTTGCATGATGTTATTCATGACGGCTGTTATATTGTTATCAAAATCAATCAATCAAAATAATCAATACATCTCTTTTTCCTTCTTTGTCCTAGCAATGATCCACCCAACATGCCTGCCGTGGAGGCACCACCCAATCCGCCCCTTTCGGACGATGAGGAGGTTGAAGAGGTGAAGGACACCCTGCTCGATGAAGCTCAGTATGACTCCCTTGAGAAGGCATTGAGCATCCCTGGAAGGGTCTACTGAGCTCCCCCTCTGTTCAAACAAGCTGTGGGCAGATCTCACCTCAGCTTTAAAGCTGTGATTCAACTTCTACATTAATGAGCAACTATATGATAAGAACCAAATTCCTGTTTTAGTGGAGAGATAATCTGATATAAATAAAAGCTAGATGTGATTCTGATCTTCAAGCATGGAAAGCACGTTGAAAGCCGGAAAAATCTGGCATTTCTCTGGATTCTTTTCACTGAGTGCATTTTCAGGCATGTGCTCACAGTTCTGGGTAATAGTGATGGACATCAGTTCATATGTTTGACCCTTCAGAATCTTGTGATATGACGTTGATGTTCACCTCTGTGGCTCATTGAGATTATTTGTTCAAATTTAAAGCGACTTCCATCTGATCTCTACCCAAAGACTGCCCCCTAAGGGGCTTCTGATGTGGACTGACAGGATCTGTATCCGGTCTGATTAGTCGTCTAAAAACACCTCTACGCTTTTAAAACACAGCTTACTTTGTCAACAGAAAGGCTTTAGGGGCAGTAAGCTAAACATCTCATCAGGTATTTCACCTTTCAGTCTCACCTGTAATACTGCCCTCTCACAGGCCAGCCTAGCATACCAACTGGTGTTGGAGCTGCTGAGTCAAACACTGTTACATACATCCAGACATCAGGTGTGTTATTTGATACAAGACAGATCATCGAAAGGACTAACGGTCAGCTGATGATGTAGAGAAGATGTCCTAAAGATAGACTAGGCAGAAGAATCAACAGTATCTGTGGGGTAATTAGTGATCACATGAGAAGCACAATAGTACTCGATCTCCTGTATCATCTACTGTAACTGTATAATCACAGGAAATCTTCTGTATTCAGACAGCACTGCAGCTGTTCGTGCAGTCATGATTACAGTATCGATTGGATTTGACGTTTGATTAATGTCGTGTTCAAGCAGTTCATGAGATCTTCTTAAAGCAACAGAGAATTCTTCAATAATTGAATCAACAAGAGAAACACTTTGTGCTTGCATGTTGTCTTCTGTCATGTTGGATATAACTGAGGACTCAAGCGACCAGGGTTACACTGATGAAGGTTTGTAATGGGTAAACTGGGCTGAAACTGGTCTCATAAAGAAAAATACCTTTTTTAAGTGATCCCTCTCCATGTCATCAGCTGATCCACATAATCAGCTGATCCCTCTCCACATATCAGCTGATCCACATCATCAGCTGATCCACATAATCAGCTGATCCCTCTCCACATCATCAGCTGATCCACATCATCAGCTGATCCCTCTCCACGTCATCAGCTGATCCACATATCAGCTGATCCACATAATCAGCTGATCCCTCTCCACGTCATCAGCTGATCCACATATCAGCTGATCCACATAATCAGCTGATCCCTCTCCACATCATCAGCTGATCCACATCATCAGCTGATCCCTCTCCACGTCATCAGCTGATCCACATATCAGCTGATCCACATAATCAGCTGATCCCTCTCCACATATCAGCTGATCCACATCATCAGCTGATCCCTCTCCACGTCATCAGCTGATCCACATATCAGCTGATCCACATCATCAGCTGATCCCTCTCCACATCATCAGCTGATCCACATCATCAGCTGATCCCTCTCCACGTCATCAGCTGATCCACATATCAGCTGATCCCTCTCCACATCATCAGCTGATCCACATCATCAGCTGATCCCTCTCCACATCATCAGCTGATCCACATCATCAGCTGATCCCTCTCCACATCATCAGCTGATCCACATATCAGCTGATCCACATCATCAGCTGATCCCTCTCCACGTCATCAGCTGATCCACATCATCAGCTGATCCACATCATCAGCTGATCCCTCTCCACGTCATCAGCTGATCCACATATCAGCTGATCCACATCATCAGCTGATCCCTCTCCACGTCATCAGCTGATCCACATCATCAGCTGATCCCTCTCCACATCATCAGCTGATCCACATCATCAGCTGATCCCTCTCCACATCATCAGCTGATCCCTATCATCAGCTGATCCACATCATCAGCTGATCCCTCTCCACGTCATCAGCTGATCCACATCATCAGCTGATCCACATCATCAACTGATCCACATCATCAGCTGATCCCTATCATCAGCTGATCCACATCATCAACTGATCCACATCATCAGCTGATCCCTCTCCACGTCATCAGCTGATCCACATCATCAGCTGATCCACATCATCAACTGATCCACATCATCAGCTGATCCCTATCATCAGCTGATCCACATCATCGGCTGATCCCTCTCCACATCATCAGCTGATCCACATCATCAGCTGATCCCTCTCCACATCATCAGCTGATCCCTATCATCAGCTGATCCACATCATCAGCTGATCCACATCATCAACTGATCCACATCATCAGCTGATCCACATCATCAGCTGATCCACATCATCAACTGATCCCTATCATCAGCTGATCCACATCATCAGCTGATCCACATCATCAGCTGATCCACATCATCAACTGATCCACATCATCAGCTGATCCCTATCATCAGCTGATCCACATCATCAGCTGATCCACATCATCAGCTGATCCACATCATCAACTGATCCACATCATCAGCTGATCCACATCATCAGCTGATCCACATCATCAACTGATCCACATCATCAGCTGATCCACATCATCAGCTGATCCACATCATCAACTGATCCACATCATCAGCTGATCCACATCATCAGCTGATCCACATCATCAACTGATCCACATCATCAGCTGATCCCTATCATCAGCTGATCCACATCATCAGCTGATCCCTATCATCAGCTGATCCACATCATCAGCTGATCCACATCATCAGCTGATCCCTATCATCAGCTGATCCACATCATCGGCTGATCCCTCTCCACATCATCAGCTGATCCACATCATCAGCTGATCCCTCTCCACATCATCAGCTGATCCCTATCATCAGCTGATCCACATCATCGGCTGATCACTCTCCAAGTCATCAGCTGATCCCTCTCCACGTCATCAGCTGATCACTCTCCAAGTCATCAGCTGATCACTCTCCAAGTCATCAGCTGATCACTCTCCAAGTCATCAGCTGATCCCTCTCCACGTCATCAGCTGATCCCTCTCCACGTCATCAGCTGATCCCTCTCCAAGTCATCAGTTGATCCCTCTCCACGTCATCAGCTGATCACTCTCCAAGTCATCAGCTGATCCCTCTCCAAGTCATCAGCTGATCCCTCTCCACGTCATCAGCTGATCCCTCTCCACGTCATCAGCTGATCCCTCTCCAAGTCATCAGCTGATCCCTCTCCAAGTCATCAGCTGATCCCTCTCCTCTCTCTTCAAACCGTCTTTATGTCATCACTCTATGATGATTTTAATACGATGCCTCATGGTATTGTATGCTGTGAATCACAGACTTTAAAGGTTCAGCAGACGGGCGGGTGTGAGAGCAAAGTTTTCCAGCTTTGCGTCTTTAAATATTAAAAACCTTCATCAGCGTAACTCTTAGTGATACATGATGATTAATGTGATATAATGATGATGACTTACAGTCTGTGTCTTTATGTGATTTTATGCAGAACAATGTCTTTGAATTTAACTTTGAGAATAAAGAATCAAGTATTAACCCAGCTCTCTGTATGTGTGTGTGCTGTAATGCTGGCCTCAGATTAGACACATTTCCCCAAAGGGACAACAAAGAGACGAGGGACGACACACTTAACTGTGACAGCACCAATCACTTCCTGTCAATGTTTTTACTAAAGTATGGAAGGAACTGGTCTTACCCAGTGTGTACATATGAATACTTTATCAGAGCATGGTGGCTTGAACTTTGACCCTCACAGTTTGAGTATTTAAAGAGAAACGAAAGGCTGCAGCTTGTCGGTTATAATTACATAACGTGTGCAGGGGATCGAGGGTCAGAAAGGATAGCAAATCATGCTGGAGGATGCTGGATGTAGGCAAACATGGTGACTGTTTTACAAACTCAATTTGACGCACTGACAAAATATATTTCTTGCACAATTAACAGTTTGAAAATACAGATATTTACGAAGCCATTTATTCATTATGACTTTTCTGTCTACATTTGGAATAGTGTTTTCTATACTTAAAGAAAAATCACTGAATACATTTTAAAACTAAACAGAATAAAAATAGAGATGTTCTTTATTTGATAGGGAATCTCGTCGGTGATCCAATGTTGGGTCTGCCCAGTAAGGACTAACTGGTTATTCTGGTGTCATTATAAACCTTACCGTGAGACTGATTACTCTTGTGTGTTCGGTGTTGTTCTAGAGATTATCGAAAGCAGTAGTAGTCTGTTCTCTCCTTGTGTGAATGCAGAATCCTCTCTGTCAAAAGATCATTAACAAACAATACTAAACATGTCAGATGTGTAAAACAGACTTTATTTAGATTTGATAGAAGGTACAGAAAGTACTGATGTGACCAGGTCAGTGAAAACCTCTCCAGCAGGTCACAGCTGTTCTTTTATATTCTCTCCTTCTGCATGTTGGGGTAAAGACAGCTTCCTGTTGCCCCTGCTGGACCACAGCACAACATCTCTTTGGCAACAAGAAACTGAAGAGACTTCCCTCCTTCACAGAAATGGTACATCAATATTCTAAAAAGTGTTTTTGTCTAGTTACAGAAATATCACAGACAGCTGTTAAGAAGTGTTACATGGGTTACACCCCACCCTAACAAACACTTAGAGGACACTACGTGTTGCTCATCCAGTGCTTAAAGGCTCCACTCTTCTGTCTTTGAGGCTCCAGAGCCATCCACTTTAAAACAGCAGCCAAACCTACAACTCAACAACACAAACCTTCCACACTCAGAAAGCAGATCTTTGAAACACTTCATGATCATGACAGCAGCCCTCCATCAGCATTGAACCGCTGACTAATAACATTGAATCGATATGTCTCACCATCATAGATTTTCTGTTCAATGTATTATTGTCTAAAACTCCAATATTAGCCACTTTTACACACTTGTCTACATTTATACCAGAGAGGTTTAGAGATTCAGCTTCGAGTACAGGAGTGAAAAAGCTCAGCGAATGTACAGCATGTGACCCGAACAGATGAGCCAGGCAGCTTTCTAACGTCTCTCACAACAGATAAATGGGCAGGAGCCAGGGGCTTGTCCAGAAGAGTGACCAGGGGTGGCATGCCCCCCCCCCGAAGTCTGGTGCCATCCAAAAATCCTAAACTGTGATTGGCTATCACCTTGTCAGAGGTTGGACCTGTGTAAAAATAAACTCTACCACGTGTCCCGACAGGCTGCTGGTAGTTTTCTTTTCATGTCAATGTAGAATATTTTCCATTGTTAGGACTATAAATGGTAAAAAATTAACTAACTTGCAATGTTCAGAGCGGCTGTGGACCAGCGGTAGACTTGTTCATCTCTCAAACAGAGAGTCGGGAGTTTGATCCCCAGCTCCTGTAACCACGTCTGTGTGAATGTTTATGAATGGATGAGTTAATACTGATGGACTCTTTACTCAGCAGCCTCTACCATCAGCGTGTGAATGTGTGTGAATGGATGAGTTAATACTGATGGACTCTTTACTCAGCGGCCTCTACCATCAGCGTGTGAATGTGTGTGAATGGATGAGTTAATACTGATGGACTCTTTACTCAGCGGCCTCTACCATCAGCGTGTGAATGTGTGTGAATGGATGAGTTAATACTGATGGACTCTTTACTCAGCGGCCTCTACCATCAGCGTGTGAATGTGTGTGAATGGATGAGTTAATACTGATGGACTCTTTACACAGCGGCCTCTACCATCAGCGTGTGAATGTGTGTGAATGGATGAGTTAATACTGATGGACTCTTTACTCAGCAGCCTCTACCATCAGTGTGTGAATGGATGAGTTAATACTGATGGACTCTTTACTCAGCAGCCTCTACCATCAGCGTGTGAATGTGTGTGAATGGATGAGTTAATACTGATGGACTCTTTACTCAGCGGCCTCTACCATCAGCGTGTGAATGTGTGTGAATGGATGAGTTAATACTGATGGACTCTTTACTCAGCAGCCTCTACCATCAGTGTGTGAATGGATGAGTTAATACTGATGGACTCTTTACTCAGCGCCTCTACCATCAGCGTGTGAATGTGTGTGAATGGATGAGTTAATACTGATGGACTCTTTACTCAGCGGCCTCTACCATCAGCGTGTGAATGTGTGTGAATGGATGAGTTAATACTGATGGACTCTTTACTCAGTGGCCTCTTTTGTAAGTTAGAGAGTGCGCAGGAGTGAGCATGAAAGTCAAGTAGGGCACATAAGTCAAAGTCAATAATGTCTGGATACTGCCCTGACAGGAGCTCATATACATTGTGGATGAATTATGTTTTGCTTTGCAAACACAAAAGCCTGTTTGTTCAGCCCGTGCAGTCAAAAACAGAAGTGAACAGCCTGATTTGTACCTTTGTGCAGCATTTCAGAGAATGTATTTGGATATATTGCCTGTTGAGTGTGGCGATGTAGGCCTGTACTTTCAAACCCAGGTCCCCCCTTGTTTTCTATCCCTGTAATGTCTGTGATTGTACTTGGCTTTTGTTATTATTGTTGCACATCAGTATAACAGCTTTCTGGTTATATAGTATTTACTACATCTTTGCATCAGTTTAAATCAGAACCTGCACTCTACAGATCTTTAGCTTAAAGAAGACATTTGTTTTGTATGATGAGAATTGATTTCTATACATTTCTTAACTCCAAAACAGAAAACAAAAGCTCCTTTTTCAAAGCCATATATTCTTTAGGTACTGTTGAACCATGCATTTCTATATAAACAAGAAACAGTTTAACCTTAAAGAATGATATCTGAAAAGATGTCCTTTGTTGTCTTGCCACCAAAGTCAAAATGGTCCAATGTTTACGACGGAGGGTTGGTTTGTGAGAGGGGTGCTGGCATTCAGTTTGGCAGAAACAATGAGCCACATACATTTATGTCAAACAGTGCAGTAGTGGTCCTGATAAAACAAGAAAGAGAAAAATTCACAAAATATTAGCTTTCCCGTGTTTGTTCAGCTAATTCCTCAAACCAAATAGCCTTTCCTTCCTTCTTTCACACACGTGAGTCTCTGAACGAATGCAAATATAAACATTATATTACTTGTGACACCTCAAAGTTCTGATCGATATTGTTAAAAAAAGTAAAGCAGTTTCCTCAAACGTTTGTTGTGAAGCTTAAGTCTTGTTCAAAGGGCTGATCCTTTGTGGACAGTTTGCAGTTTACTGTTCATGAAGTCGCTTCACACTCTCCTGACTGCTTCATAAAATAATTATAAATAAATAATGAAGTGAAGATGCTTCCAAACATCCATCCGTCCATTTAGTCTCTTTGATCCCAAAAAT